GGAGCTCTTATCTAATCCTTAAAAGATTTTAGGGTTACCTCTTCAGAGGGCCAAATGTTAGAGTAGCCAAAAGCCCCATAAAAAATAAATGAAGGAGTACATTAAAAAAAAAGAAACAGAGGCTCTTATCAGAAAAGACTATTCTCATGATATGTGAACCAATATTTTAGGACCAACTTCTCTTTTCCAACAGAATCTATGCAGAATTGTAGATAAGACTACAAGTCCTAGATCTAGCTTGCTATTATCTTTCAGAGTGATTGTATAATGAATGAATACATGTAAATAATTCAGTGTAGACCTTGTTCCATAATATATCTTAAAATATCTGCTTAAGGGCCAGGCGTGGTGGTGCATGCCTTTAATCCCAGCACTTGGGAGGCAGAGGCAGGCAGATCTTTGTGAGTTCGAGGCCAGCCTGGTCTACATAGTGAGTTCCAGGACAGCTGGAGCTACAGGGAGACCCTGTCTCAGAAAGACCAAAAAAAAAAAAAAAAAAAATCTGTTTAAAAAAAAAAAAAAAAAAAAAAAAAAAAAAAAATCTGCTTAAAAAAACAAACAAAAATACAGCTTTTGCATTCATGGGAAAAAAATATTAAAAAGGTCATAAATTTGGGTAGGTAAGGGAGGTGGGTCTGGGAAGAGTCTGGGGAGGGGAGTGAACAATGTATTATTATATGTAATTCTCAAAGAATAAAAATATTTTTTGTAAAAAGAAAAACAACAGAAAAAAGTCTTTCCTGTTCTTAAGCTGTTGTCTTACATATTTTGTTATATAGCAATGGAAAGCTAACCAATCAAACCCAAGAACACAAAGTTAGAGTGTGGCATGTAGATTACACTCAGTTTTCTTAAATTTATTTATTTTATTTTATGTGTATGAGTATTTTGCCTGCGTGTACATAAGTGCACATGTGTGCAATGCCCATGAAGGCCAGGAAAGGGCATCAGATCCCCTGGAACCAGAGTTATAGGCTGTTAGCTGCCATGTGGGTGCTGGGAACCAAACCTGGGTTCTCTTCACTGCTGAGCCATCTCGCCAGACCCTCTATTCGGATTTTCTGATTTTCTATTATTTGTATTTTACATCTTGAATAAAAGTTGAACTTGGTATATGCAAAAATGGTTTAAATCCTGTATGGCCTTCTAAAAGAAGACTGCATATTTTCCTTTAGAAATTGCATTGTGTTTTCCACTGTATCTGAATTCCAAGTTCTTTTTCTATACCCTTTTTTTTTTTTTTGTGAGACAGTCTCATAAATAGCCCTAGCTGACCTGGAACTCGTCATATAGACCATACTGACCTTGAACTCACAGAGATCCACCTGCCTCTGCCTCTCTCCTTAGTGTTGGGATTACAAGCGTGTGCCACCATATCTGGCTTTTCTATATCTTGTTTAAACTTATGTACCTTATAGTATACAATTCAGTATGTACAGTCTTCCTCCTAGATATTGTTTTATTTAGACTTTCTATATAATACAGAATCAGCTAAGATTTCAATATATGTGGTATTTTGAGCTTTTAAGGCTATGCAGATATTATGCTCTTAAAACCCTCTTCTAAAAAGCCAAGTTTTTGTCTTTAATTCTATCAATTCTATCTGGCTTTTTGGCTTTAGGTTGGCTATGATATGAGTAAAGAAGCTGCCAGGAAATGCTATGAGAAGTCTGGCCTGAGACCCAGCGATGTTGATGTGATAGAACTTCATGATTGCTTTTCTGTCAATGAACTCCTTACTTATGAAGCGTTGGGGCTCTGTGCAGAAGGTAGTATCTTTGAAGGGGGAAGAGTAATTGGTAATTCTATTGAGAAAGTTTCACATTCACCATTAAACAAAAGAAGTCACTAATTGCCTTTCCCTGCACGTTGGCTCTGCCGCACTGTATGAAGACAATGTAAGCAGTTTGGTGGTAGAGTTTAGAAACATATAGTCTTAGATGTACACTTAATTGCATGATGCCAATCAGTCCTTACAATGTACTGTTACATTTTAAAGAGGATTTATCATGTTTGCAAATTCAAAGTATTTTAAATTGTGTTTAAATAAACATTTGGCAGAAAGGAAAACAAAAACTAATTGGAGGGGTTTGAAAGATAAATTCATTTATTTTATTTTCTTCAGTATATGAACTTTTTTTTTCTTTTTGTCTTTTTGAGACAGGGTCTCCCTGTTGTCCCAGATGACCTGAACTCACTATGTAGACCAGGCTGGCCTTGAACTCACAAGGATCTGTCTGCCTCTGCCTCCCTAGTGCTGGGACTAAAGACGTGCGCCACCATGTCTGGCAGTATATGAACTTTTAAGGTGCTCTGCTTTCTTGTCAACACTTGATGGTCAGTGTTTAACATTTCAGGCATGCTAAAGAATATAATTATGCAGGCTGGGCATGGTGGCTCACACCTTTAACCCCAGCACTTGGGAGGCAGAGGCAGGCAGATCTCTGTGAGTTCAAGGCCAGCCTGGTCTACATAGTGAGTTCCATGACAGCTGGGGCTACAGGGAGACCCTGCCTCAAAAAAGACACACACACACACACACACATATATGACACATATATATATGAAATCGTATCTTGATTTAGTCTTAATCTGCATAATCCTTATGACTAGTTCTATTGAAGATCTTACGTGCTGAGGTTCTAGGCGTGCAGCACCATTTCCTGTTCCTAAATTCTGCCCTGATTTCGTTTCCTTATCCTCTGGGATTACAGTGATGTCTGTATTAGAACTTTCGATATTATCACACAAGTCAATGAAATACTTTTTTTCTTTGTTTGTTTTTGCAGTATTAGGGATCAAACCCAGGGCCATGAACATCTGTTCATTTTTTCAGTTCCTTTTTCTCTGTTAATCATCTCTTTCTGCTCTTGAACCATTCTAGTGGGATTTTGTTAGTTTTTTTTTTTTCATGTACTTAGTAAATTTTTTTGGTTCTTTAGAGACAGGGTCTTGCTGAACCATTCTACTGGGGATTTTTCAGAGTCTTTGCATGTTGAATTTTAGATTGCATCCTAGACAGGATCTATGCTGTTTAAGATCCTCTGGAGAGCTATGGTAGTTATTTGTGAGTGTGCATGTGCACGCATTAGTGCATCAGAGGTCAACCTTGGGTGTCAATCCACAGGAGCAGTCCCCTGTTTTTAGACAGGGTCTCTTCCTGGGACTTGAGGCTCACCAGTTTCAAGCTGACTGGCTTAAAACCACCATACTTGGTTTCCGTATTGTTTTTGATTTAGCGAGCAGTCAGCCCAGTTTGTTCTAACAAGTTTTGTTTTGCCTTCTGAAGTGGTGGCTGATATCTTTCTTCAGCTCTTGAGCCTTTGCCGTGCTGCTTTGGGTTCATCTTGTTCACCCGTAGCTCAAGCCTGAGCCTCAGACTTGTATGGGTCCATATGTAGAATTAGGGATGTGGGGTTGTGCTCTGGCTCATTCCACTTTGGCTTTCTCTTACTGTTGGGCCCATGGTGTTTCTTTTCTTGGTTCTGTTGGTTAGAAAGGTGGGGTTTCAGTGAGCATGGTGGTGCGCCCCTGCATTTAGGAGGTAGTCAGGAGGTTCAAGACTTCAAGGCCAGTCTGGACTACATGAAGCTCTGTCTCAAAATGAAAAAAAGGGGAGGAGAGGAGAGGAGAGGGGAGGGGAGGGGAGGGGAGGGAGGGGAGGGGAGGGGGAGGAGAGAGAGAGAGAGAGTGAGAGAAAGAGCGAGAGAGAGTGAGAGCGAGCGCGCTCGCTCATTCTGTTATTGCTGTGCTGCTATCTCTGGACGCCACTCCTCTTGTGTGCAAAGCTACTAAAGAGAGCCTGAGAAAACATAACTGGGAATTCACCGTTGTGCAATATGTCCCTGAGCTTTCACTCTGGTTCTTCCTGCTTTTGTTTATTCTTCAGGCATCAGGTAGTTGTGAGTAGCATTTTTATACAGTGCATTCAGTTGTGGTCAGTCAGAGAGGAGTGCTGTGAAGCTCATGTGCTATTATTGTGGTAGAACTGGAACCCTGTCTCAGGGTGAAGCATTGTATATGTGATGATGGCTTTGAATTTTATGTGCTAGCTCTGCATGCTTCCCTAAACTCCAGACTTGGGTCCAGACTCAGCTGTCTACTTTTCAGGGTATTTTGGGCATTTGCGTCTGTTGTTTTTGATGGTGTATTAGCATCTCAAACCTAAGTTCAGAATTGAACTGCCAGTATTTTCCAAACTTCCTCCAGCCAGACTGGAAACCAAAGAATCATTCTTTTTTTTTTTTTTTTTAAGTTTTGTGTGTGTGTGTGTGTGTGTGTGTGTGTGTGTGTGTGTGTGTGCCTGTGGCTGTTCTTGGAGGCCAGAGGAGTGGGTCAGGTCCCCTGGAACTAGGGCTGTAGGTGATTGTGCACCACCTCCACCTTTGTGGGTGCTAGGAAGTGGATTCCTGCCCTATGCAAGAGCAACAAGTACTCAACTGTTGAGCTGTCTCTCCAGCCTCCATAGAGTCATTTTTTGAGTCTTCTCTTTCTCTTATTGTCCCTTCTGCACCTGTCTCAAAGTCCTGTTGACTCTAGACTCTGCCTTCTAAAATAAATACAGAATATACCACGTTTTGCCAGCTTTTGTGACTACATTGTCACTACTTTGTTGCTGAACAGTATTGTTTCTTAGGTGGTAGTTATCGCACAGCTCCCTCTGAGTCTGCCTTACCTCCTTACAGTCTTTTCACTGGACTCAGAGTGGAATGGTTGTGTTAGAAGCAGGTCAGTGCTAACCCTCTGTTCTAAACCTACTAGTTTTTTAATTAAAAATGTATATGCCACACAGTGATACATTGAAAAAAGACAAAAAAAAAATGCATTGGGGATGGGTGTAGTGATGCAGGCCTTCAGTCCCAGCACTCAAGAGGCAGAGGCAGGAGGATCTCTGTGAGTTCAAGGCCAGCCTGGTCTACAAAATGAGTTCTAGGCCAGCTGGGGCTACAGAGAGACCTTGTCTCAAAGAGATCAAAAAAAAAAAAAAATGGGGGAAATTATGAATTTTAAAACTGTTCTTTAGTTAAAGTATTGCAGAGTACTGGCTCTCTTTATTTGTTGTATATTTGGAGCAGTTTTGGAACCACAGGGCTCTTAGGAACTAGCATGTGCTTTGTTTTCATACAGAGTATGTTCTGCAAAGAAGCCTGTGTTGCTCAACGTGTCACTTAATATTTAGAAGCACTTGCAAATTATTAAATTATTGTTAAGCTCTTAAGAAATGCTACATTAAGAAATCCTTGGCTCTATGGAAAGTTTGAACACATATGTCATGTGTTTGGTGTGACTTTTAACATAAATATTATACTTATCTCCATAGGACAAGGTGGAACACTGGTTGACAGAGGAGATAACACGTATGGAGGCAAGTGGGTCATAAATCCTAGTGGTGGACTGATTTCAAAGGGACACCCGCTGGGAGCAACAGGTAATACTGAATAAATTTCAGAAGTTTTTATTCATTTTGACATATTTTTAGTCCCTGGTTTGATTTTTAAGTTTTATACATTTGTTTATTAATCAATTAATTAATTATTTAGCACATGCACACAGGCATGTTCTATGGCTCACATTTAGAGGTCAGCAGACAACTTGTGGGAGTAGGGTCAGTTCTCTCTTCTCATGTTTGTGTCCTGGGGTTCAAACTCAGGTCATCAGGCTTAGCAGCAAGCACCTTTATGTGCTAAGCCATCATCCTGGCCCCTGTTTTGTCCTTTTAGGTCAGGGTCTTATTCTATAGCCCAAGCTGTCTTAGAACTCACTATATAGCTCAGAATGGCCTAGAACTTGTAGCAATCCCCTGCCTTAGCCTTCCAAATACTGGGATTGTAGGTATAAATCACCATGCCCCATATAAGTATGTGATTTCAGTATTTTTGTATTCTCTGAACTTGGCAGCTGGTGGTTCAAATCTTCAAATGCTTGTTTAGTTTTAGTCCTTTTTTTTTTTTTTTTTTTTTAAAGAAAGTCTTACGGTGTAGCCCTGACTGGCTTGGAACTCTTTCATTGACCAGGCTGGCATTGAACTCACAGAGATCTGCCTGCCTCTGCCTTCTGAGTGCTGAGATTAAAGTATATGCCATCATAGACCCTGAATTATTTCTTTAAAATGTTTTTATAAATCTAGGGTTTAAATTTTTTTTTTCCCTTTAACCATAGTATACTTTTAAGAATTCTGATTAGGGGCTGAAGAGGTAGCTCAGTGGTTAAGGGAACTTGCTGTTCTTCCAGAGATTCAATTCCCAGCATCCACATGGCAGCTCTGTTGCCCTCTTCCAGACTTCAGGGATAACACACACACACACACACACACACACACACACACACACACACACCATTATATGTACAGGCGATCAAAACACATGTACAAATAAAATTATTAAAAAAAGAACCTTGAAGCTGGGCATGGTGGTACATACCTTTAATCCCAGCACTCGGGAGGCAGGTGGATCTCTGTGAGTTCAAGGCCAGTCTGGTCTACATAGTGAGTTCAGGTCAGCTGGGGCTACAGGGAGACCCTGTCTCAAAAAGACCGAAAAAAAAAAAAAAAAGAATCGATTCAATGATGAGAATTTGAACTAAATTACACATACACACATACAAAGCTTGTTTAAATAGATATGTAACTTAACTAGTAAGATGTTTGCTAATAGAGATCTTTCTAGACCTGCCAGATAAGATAATTTCAAATGAACATACTACATGTTCTTGGATACATGGTTAGCATTGCACAGAACTTATTTTCTCTTCAGCAAGCTAGACTAGAAGTTATGAAAAAAGAATTTTGCTGTGGCTCTGCTGCCCACTGGTCATGTAATTCTTCTTATCAGTTAGAAATTAATCACTTTGAGTCTTAAGTCCTTGATTGTATAGTTCATTTTCTAAAATAACTTTTAGTAGTAAAATTCTGGTTCTGTAAAAGTGGCTCTTGTGTTTTTTCTGTATTATCCTGTTGTATTTGTTGATTACTGAAATTTTTTAAGTCCTCAGAGGTTCCAAATAGGGAAGGTATAATTAAGAATGTTTTATTAAAGCAATTAACCTTGACTTATTTTTGTTTAAAATTCAAGTTTCATAAGCTCATAACCTAGTAGAAAAGCTACATAGGTTGTGGGAGGAGAGAGAAGAAAGTGTGCCCTACCTCTCATATGCTAGGATTACAGCCTGCACCATGATGCTCAGCTTAGATAACTTTTTTGGGGTGTTGAGGGGAGTTGTTGAGATGACTCCACTATATAGCCCCACCTGGAACTCCTATGTAGGCCATCCCAGTCTGGCCTTGATCTCACAGTGCCTCAAGTGTTGGGATTAAAGGTTTGTGCCACCATGCCCAGCTTTATAACTTGTTTTGATAGTTGTATAATCCATGAAACCAACAATCAGCATAAGATATAGCACATTTCTGTCACTCCAAAAATATTCTACCCTGTCTATTTATTTTCAGTCAGTTTCTTGGCTTCCCCTGTACCCTTCTCTCCCTCTCTCTGCCACCACTGGGCTAAGATTGTGATTTCTGTTACTGTAGATGAATTTTGCTGATCCTAGAACTCAATGTAAGATAATTAGACTTGAGTGTGGGTATACTTTTGTGTCTTGTTTCTTTTACTCAGTAGAATATTTAGGTTTGTCCATATTTTCCTTGTGTCACTATTTTTTTTCTTGCCAAGTAGTATTCCAGCATTGAAATATCCTAGTTTGTTTACCCATTCCCCCGTTGGTAAACTGGAGTTGTTTCTTGTTTGGAGCTATTATAAATAAAGCTACTGTAAATGTTTCTGTACAAGTCTGTTTTCAGATATACATATTCATTTGTGTTGGGTTAGTAGTTTGGAGTAGAACTACTGGGTCACAGGACATGTAACTTTATGAGAAATTCCCAACAGGGATGTCAGTTAGTAGTTTGGAGTAGAACTAGGTCACAGGACATATAACTTTATGAGAAATTCCCAACAGGGATGTCAGTTAGTGCCAGAGCACCTACATAGTATGTTCAATCCCAGTACCTCAAAGCACAAAGCACCAAATAGGCCTCAAACGGGCTATCATATGATCATATGCTTTACTGCTTTTTTAAAAATTTTATTATTTTAGTTTTATGTGTATGAGTGTATGGCCTGCATGTATGTGACTGTACCCGTGTTGTGCAGTGCCGCGGTCAGAAGAGGGCTTCGGATTCCCCTGGAACTGGAGTTAAGGATGGTTCATAGCCGCCATGTGGATGCTGGGAATTGAACCTGGGTCCTCTGCAAGAGCAGTCAGTGCTCTTAACCACTGAGCCATCTCTCCAGCCCTTTTGAGACTGGGTCTCTCTACAAAGCCTTAGCTGGCCTGTAACTCGCTATGTAGACCATTTGGCCTCAAATTCATAGAGATCTGCCTGCCTCTGCCTCCTGAGTGCTGGGATCAAAGATGTGCACCACCATGCCCTGCTGCTTTCTAATACTATATCTGGCCTTAGACTGTAGAGATGGCTTAGTGGTTAGGAGTTGGTTTTAGAGGGTCTGAGTTCAGTTCCATTCCCAGCACCCACAACAGGCAGCTTGCAACTATAACTCCAGCTCAAGGGGATCCGATGCCTTTGGCCTCCACCCTCTGCAGGAAACTGTACCCATGTGTCTACTCATACACAGATACACACATGCACATAATTTTTTTTTAAATTAAAAAATACAGCTGGCTGATAAATTTTTAATGTTTTTCAGTCTTTCTCTTCTTTATTCATGGTTTTACTGATCAGTAAATATTTTCCACCAAAATTGTTACTTGGGGCTGGAGCTCCATTGGTAGAATGCTTGCCTAGTATGCCAAAGGCTCTGGGTTCCATCCCTAGTGTGGCATAAACAGCATCAGGCAGGCATAGTAGAACACTGGAGATGGAAACAGGAGGATCAGAAGTCCAGGGTTCTCCTTGGCTAAGTAGAGGCTAGGCTGGGCTTCATGGGACCTTGTCATCAAACTAAACAAAACCAAAATTCCTATGTACATAAATACATATGTGTATGTGTGCCTATAATCTTTATATGTGCGCATATATGTTTATATATTATACAGTGAGTTTTCACATGTCTAAAATCTTTCTATATTTTTATTTGAGGCAAAGTCTTACTTTGTAGCTTCAGTTGGCCTTGAACTCACAACTCCTTTCTTAGCTTTGACTGCTGGGGTTATAAGTATGTATCTTTCTACACTTACAAAATGCACCTTAGGATAAATTCCAGACTGTCAAAGGGAGTACATGTTTTAAAATTGGCAGAAATTGCCAATTTTTCTTCAAAAAATATACTAGCATATACACTCAACTGTAGAGTATGAAAGTGCTTATTTTTCTTCAATCTTGTCAACACTGGGTTTTTGTATCAAATTTAACAATTTTGCCAAACTTGACAGACCATTCTGTTTTCTTCCTTGGATAGTAAAGAAGCTAACTCTGCTGGCTAACTTCACTTGTCAACTTGACACATTTGGGAAGATGGAAACTCAACTGGGGAATTTTCTCTGTCAGATTGGCCTGTGGGCATGTCTGTGAGGAGTTTTCTTGATTATTAAGTGATGTGGAGGTAGCCCAATTTGGTGGGTGCCACCCCTAGGCAGGTGGTCCTGGGTTGTATAAGAGAGCAGCTGAGCATAGGCCAGAGGAGCAAGCCAGTAAGCCATGCTCCTCCATGTTTGTGCTTCAGCTCCCTGCTTTGAGTTCCTGACGTAACTTCCCTCGGTGCTGAACTGTGACCTGGGAGACATAAGAGAACATAAATCCTTTCCTCCCCAAATTGGTTTTAGAAACAAAGCAATTTGTTCTATTGGCAATAGAAACAAAACTAACCTAAAACAGCCTGGGAACATGGAATTTACTACTCAATTTTAAAATACTTTAAAGGTTGACACAAACATCTTTTGTAGTATCTTTTTTTAGTCCTTTCCAATATATGTTATGTGTTTGTATGTGTATGTGTTGTATGTGTATGTGTGTAGGTGCCCAGTGGTGCACATGTGTGTGGCATCCAGAGGTGAGTGTCAGGTGTCATTAATCAGGTGCCATCTACCTTGTTTTTTTGAGATGTTGACTGGGAGCTCACCAAGCAGGGTAGGTTGGCTAGGTAGTGAACCCCAGGCTTCCTCCTTTCTCTGTCTCCCTAGCACTGGGATTATAATCATGCACCACTATACCTGTTTTTTTTTTTTTTTTTTTAATGTTTGTTCTGGGGATCAGGCTAGGTCCTCATGCTTGTATGAAAGTGCTTTACTAACAGAGCTAGCTCCTCAGCCCAACCCTTTCCAATAGTTATATTTGTGCTGTTGGTAAATTTTTCCTTTTATCATTAAAGTTTGAGAAATAGTGTTTTAGGTGATACAACATTTTCATAGAAAACTTGTAAAAAGTTACTTATTTTTTATTTGTTTTTAACGTGTATGAGTGTTTAGTGCATGTAT